CATCTTGAAATCATCATGGTAGGGGATCACTGAATCCCCCAGCTTCAGCACAGTGTTGCCTTGCTGTTTGAAGGTCTGTATAGAGGGGCAAATAGAGGAAGGGATGGCTACCTCTTGTGCCCTGGACTCTGCAGTGAGGAGAGAGTCTGAAGGCTCTCAGAACACAGGAGCTCAAAGCCACTTGGCAGACCTGAAGGCCTGAACCTGAATACAGCAGCTGTATCCCATGGCCTCCCAGGCAAAGATGCCTGCTGGAAGAAGACCAGAGTGTGCAAAAGGCTGTCATTGTATTGGAGCCCTGGCCAAGACATGGGAGCACAGGACAAGTAGCATCCATGTGAGTTCTGCCTGCCCAGGGAGACCTACAAACCCACCACATCCCACAGCACCCTGGCCAGATGCCCCCTTACAGCTCAGCCAGGCACCCACTGCCCCTTCTTGCCAAGGTGGGACATAGGACCTCTTTCAGCAGGACAGGCTCAAGGACTGGATCCAGCTCCTCGCCGACATTCTCCAGCAGGAAGGGCTTCCCAAAGGTAATGGCATTCTCCAGAGTTGTGAGGAAGTCCCGGTCGCTCAGCTTGGCCACCTCCAGGCTGTTTGCCTTCTCCTGAAAGGCAGTATAGTAGGGCAGAGTCTGTGTGATGTCCTGCCCACCTTCACATCCAGCTCTGGTCATTGGTACAACTCTCATTGGGCTGATTTAGCTCCCTAGAGCAGTGGAAATAATCTCTTTTCTTGCTTGGCTACACTTTGGCTATTTTGGCAAGTTTAGCCCATGTCTGCAGGCACTAGAGACAGCTCAGTGGGGCAGCAGAAAAGTTTGGGAACAGGGAGAACCTCCTTCAGAGAGCCATACCCCTCTGTAACCCCACGCTGATAACTCAGAGCTCATTTTCCTGCAAAGTGAGAGCAGCTGGGTGGTAAAAGTCCTCAGGGAGCAAAGCAGGAGCAGCTGCCTGAGCCTCCTGCCTGATCCTTCCAAAGGGCAGCGAGTGCCTCTCTAGAGAAGGGGTGGTGGTCAGTGTTCCCAGCACTTTGGCAGCAGGGAGTGTGTTCACTAGTCAGGTAATGTCTTGCTTCTGTTCTAGGGACCTGAAAGACCATTATGGGAGATGCTGGTGTTCTGAGATTCCCAGAGTGGAAATCTGATGCCTTGCTTGCTTACAGTAGGGCTCCTCCTGCCCTGTGCTGCTTTCCCCAAGAAGGAAAATCCATCTGGGATTAATGTGGATGTGGAACCTGTCTGGTGCAGGGGAGGCTGGGCTGGGACAGTGCAGGGTCTTGCAGTTCTACAGCCCAAAGCCAGAGGTTGCTCCTGATAGAAAGCAGCTTCCCCTATCCTGGCAGACCTGGCTTTCCTCCCCGCAGCTCTTACCAGATTCTTGATCCACTTGTTTGCTTGTCCTTGGGGGTCTATGAAGTGAGTCCAGCGCAGGGAGAACCGGGTTATTACCCCATTCTCCACAGACAGAGCGTCGTTGGGTAAACCAGCAATCTAATGGGGTAGAAAAAGCTGTTGGACACTCAGCAGCACAACACAGGTGACCAGAGAGAAGCCCTTGTTGCCCTGGCCCGAGTGCTCCCAGGGTGTGTACAGGGGATGGTGGTGAGGAAACCTCTGCCAGCAGCTGGGCACAGAGCTGCAGCTCTGCTCACAGTGGCTGAGCCCTGGGATGGAGTTGTGCTGCAGGGTCAGGCTGGGGCAGGCTATGGCCAAGGCTTGGCTCTGGGCCTGTGGTTTGTAAAGGGCAAGCCTTACAGGTCAAGGCTGATGCCTTTGTTGCTGCTGTTTGCTGCTGCCCAGGTCCTGCTCTTTGTGCAAGGAGCCCAACAGCAACTCCAGATCTGCAGTGTGGAGGTGCTTGGTCATTATCCAGTGGTTTGATCTGAGGCCTGTCTTTTGGTACAGGTGATCCTACTGAGTGGTGAGCTGAGTGTTTTAGTCTCTGCTGGAGGTCCCTGCAGCCTCAATTGTTGGGTTTTTCTGGAACTTGCCTGCCAGGAGCGGATTTCCACAGGGTCTCCGAGGGTGCTGATAAGGCTGGCATCTGTGCTGTGAGGGATGTTGTTTTCTGTCAGCTCCCTCATCCACTCCTCGGACAGTGCCATGCGGTAGTCTCCCTGCCACGAGACACACCATCATAGCCTTTCTTTTAGCTGCAGCTAGTCTGCTGCAAACATCTTAACCCTCCTGTTCCCATTCAAATGAGGCCTTGTGCAGCCTCTGGCACAAATGGAAAGCCATCCAGGAGGGATCTTGCACCCTTGTGTCCTTGTTCCTGGCCAGGAAAGCAGAGCTAACCGTGCCCCTTGCAAGGAGCACTGCACACTTACTGTGAATGGGCCCAGGTAGGCCACAAAGCCAGCTGCAACAAGCACGTCCCCACTGCTGTTGTTGATCTTGTCATCCAGGCTCTCCACAGTGTCCTGCCAGCGCACCTTCTCATCAGCCAGGCTGTTTATGAGCTGTGGGATAAGTTGCACACCTGAGAGCTGCTGTGTGGGCTAACCTTGTGTCCCAGACCTGCCACTCTCTGGGTAGTTTTGCAGGTGACTTCAGTGACCACAGGTTGGGGTGGCCCCTGATATATTCTGAATTCTGTTCCCAGCTTTGAGCACTTAATCCTGGGATTACTGGGCTGTTCTCAGCTGTCCTGGAGACCCATTGCTAGCTGAACAAGCTGTGCACAGGAGGACAGCAGCTTTTCACATCAGTGAAAAAGCTTAGCTTGTGCTGCTGAGATCTGGCCAGGCACCTTCAACCTAGGGTTGTCGTGACCTGCAGCCACATGGATATTTTCACCACTGCGCTGCCTGATCTGAAATCAGGTTGCCTCATGCAAGCAGGCAGAACCCAGCTCTGTCCCTTACCACATCGGCACGGGCCAGTCTCTGCAGACACTGCTCACACTTCATCTCCAGCTCCTCCTTGTTGGCTTTGCAGCTGTCGTACTTGGCCTGCAGCAGGGCAATGCCATCTTCAACCTCCTTCAGGCGTTTCTTGGCTTCGTCAAGGACCAGCTGAGTGGCACGCAGGTCCTCTTCTGCCTCTCGCAAGGCTTGCTGGGGACATGCACAAGGAAACAGTGAGGATGTTGGGCATGGGGTCAGGCTCTTCCCCCAAAAGGCAGAGACCTTGGAGCAAGAGTTGGTTTTCCATAAAAGTGCTTGCTGATAAGCGCTAGCTACTGGTATCTCAGTATCTCAGTCAATCCAATCCCTGGATGACAGAGGTTGACCTGCCTAACTCCAGGACTAAAAGTAGGGGCAAAGGGGGCATTTCTGCATAGCTCCAAAAAGCCAAGAGCCTGTGTCAGCTTACACAAGCTCAGGATGTGGCCCATTGGTGAAGGGGAGGAAAGGTTCCTCTGCTTGTTCCAAACTTATAATAAAGAAATAGCTAGGCTTGGAGAGGCTGAAACACTAGTGAGGTGTGGGAAAGTTTCTGTAAGTACAGTTCATGCTGAGTTCCTGACTCAGCACTAAAAACAAGGTATCGCTTCTGTCCCAGTATATTCTAGGCTGATTTCTTCTACTTTATCCTGTTAATGGGTTTTGGGACTTTGGCTCTGCTAAGGCTTGGTCTGAATGTTATGTCCAGACTTGCAGAACATGTTGATTCCCAGCATCTCCTGCAGAAGGGAGCTGTTAGTAGTGTTCCCAAACACCTAAAGCATCTGGGTCACGCGGCCTCTTACCCGCTTGGGCTCCACAACCTTGGCCACAAAGTGGTACTTGTGCATGGCACGCACCCACTGGCAGATGGAGGTACAGGCTTTGGAGACCTTGGCGATGGCAGCTGGCTGAAACTCTTCATTGTCAATGTAGGGCTGGATGGCCTTGATCACATTGTCTGAAATATTGTCCTGCAAGGAAGGGTGTGAGAGAAATCAGTGATGAGCATGCTAAAGGTCGGATTGAGGAAAGTTTCACAGAACTTCCCCCAGTGGCAGCAGCCTGCCCCAGGACCTGACAATGCGGTTAATGCATCACACTGGAGCAAGAGGAATCAAATTGCTGCATGTTCAGGCCTGGGAGGCACAGCTGTGGGATTGGGCACATCCCTTCCCATACCACTTCCATCCAGCTCCTCCACATGAAAGAGCAGAGGGACAGAAGAAGATCCGTGTGTCTAGGTCCCATTGCCCAAGGCAATGAAGTGCAGCCAGCTGACGTGAGCACTTCCAGGCCAAATATGTCCCCCTCCTCAGTGCTGCTGAAGGGTGTTGCCCACAAGGAGCTCTAAGCTTTACTGCATGAGAAGGATGTCTGAGGCAGTATCTGATCCCAGTAGCAGCTTCCTTCTGCCCCTGCTTACCTTATCGTACTCAGTCAGGCTGTTCAGGAACTGCACTGGGTCCTGGAGAAGGGCCCTGCCTGGCTCCCAGTAATCATCCACCTTGGTGCCTATTTTTTCTCCTGCCACCTTTTTGGGCTTTTTTCCTTGCATTATGCAGACAGCTTCAATCACTATCTTCACACCGGGGGGAGGCCGCTGCAGTGCTCGTACCTTCAAAACCCAAATGGAAACAGTGGGTTGACCTGGTTCTCTGGGAGATGGGGTGCTCATCCCTCCCTCAGCTGGACCAGAGGACACTGGGACTAGAGGCAGGACATTTAGAGGATGCAATACAGAGGCAGGAAAGACAGAAATATTTGAAGGCAAAGCTGGTTATCAGAAAGGGCATGGAGCAAACTACAGGTAGGCTGAAAAAGCCTGCCCTGATACTCTGATGGGTGTATTTTACAGGCTGAAAATATCTTGGCAAAGAAGCTAGATCTGTATGGCTGTATGGGAATGGGACACAGGCAGGCTTTCTTCTTTGCTCTATGGGCTCTCATTTGTCTTGTGCCCCACCACAGCAATGCTGTACCCCATGAGCTGGTCTTCAGCACTTGTGGAGGGACTGCTTGAGTCTCCCCTCAAGCAGACACCTAGGAGTGCTGCTGCAGCACCCTCGAGATGGCTGTGAGTGTCAGGACACTTGAGACTGACTCCTGCTTTTTCCTTTCTAGTGCTGACCATTCTTGCCATGTCCAGCTGGAGATACTCCCAGGCCTTCCCACTGGACACTGTCAACAGAGCAGCAGACTTTATGGCAACGCTAAGGCTGATCTACCCCCATGCAGACACCCTCTGTGAGAAGGACTTTGAGTGGCTCTTTGACTGCCCTAAGATAAAGCAGTTCCTCGAGTGGTTCTGCAGCACAGTGGGTGAGGAGAACGTGCTGAGCCCAGCTGAGGTGGAGGCCTATGATGCCCTGCTGGCTGCAGGAAAGCCCATCTTGGAGGGTGATGCCCTTGAGGAGGCATTGCAGATGTGCTGCCAGGTCCCACAGCTCCCGAGCATGATACCAGAGGACAAGGGTCCCTCTCCAGAGGTCCTGCAGCAGGAGCTTCAGGAGCTGAAGGATTATCATGACCTGCAGTTCCGGCGGAACAGCAAGCTGCTGGCTTGGACAGACAAGCTGCAGCAGGAGCAGAGGTACTTGGAGGACGAGGAGAAAGTGGTGAAGCAGGACTTGAGGATGGTTCAGAGGGACTTGGAAATGAAGGTCTTCCAAACCAGAGCTGTCTTGAGCCAGGTCAGCAAGGCTGAAAAGCAGCTGACAGAGTGTCATGGGAACATGGGGAAAGGCCAGCAGCCATCACTGCTGTGCCAGATGGATCTTGGCCCTTACATGGAGCTAGAACAAAAGGCCACTGATGCGTTTGAAAACTTCATTCAGCAGGTCCTACCAGGGAGTATCCAGGCTTCAGATGCTTGGGAAGCAAGGGCACAGGGAGAGAGCAGCCTGAAGGAAGGGCTGGAGGCTGGGACACAGATGGGCTCATACTGGGAAATATCAGAGCGAGGAAGAGGAGCTCCTTATCAAGAATGCGCAAAGACACCATGCAAGGTGGCACCAGCAAGTCAGGGAATGCTGGTCCAAGAATCAAGGGCAGAGCTGCTAGTGGAGGGGAGCAATGAGAGGGAGGTGTTGAGTATGGAGGGTGAGGAGAAAAGAAATGACAGCCAGGAAGTCACAGATAAAATGAACACTAAGAAAACATCGATGCCAGAAAGCCTTAGTAGTGATGAAGATGAGCTACTGGAGGATCAAGATAGCTTCTGGAAGGAGCTGGGCCGAGTAGAGACAGCACATATCTGCGCCCAGAGGGAGGTGATAGTCATGTCAGCAAAAGTGGAAGGCAACCATGCCGCGCTGGAGTGGGCCCAGAGGACTCTGGAAGCTCTTGAGGATAACCAGGTAGGGCCAGTGCCCCCATTCCTCCACCATCCCCTGTGGCAGGGTCTGCCTGTGCTGCAGGAAGTCTCTCCTGCTGAATGCTGGAGCACAGCTGACATGTCAGGAGGGGATGGCAGGGTCAGGCAGCACATTGGTGCACCCTGACACCAGCCTGTCTTGCCTCCCCCCTGCACAGTACGCAGTCGAGGCGAAGCTCCAGGGCCAGGCTGAGGGGCTTCAGAACCAGATTCACATCCTGTGCTTCGACATCACACACACTCTGGCCCACCACCTACCGCCCCTGCTGAAGGCAGAGGGCCACCGTGCTCACCTGCCCGCCCTGCACAGGCACCTCAGCCTGGAAGCTGCCTGGCTGCAGAACACTGCCAGGAGGCAGGAGGAGGCAGCTGCATGGGTGTTGGGCCAGCAGAACCGCATGGATCTGCTGGAGCTCCAGCTGGAACGGGAGAGGCAGGAGCTGGAACACAAGGCTGCTTGGCTGGGGAAGGTTGAAAACGCCATGAGGGAAGAAGCCCAGAGCAGGCTGCAGGAGCAGCAGAACTACTTCAAAGATGCCAGCTCCTCCCAGAAGCATCGTCCACGCAAGTGGATAGACCCCAAAGATGTCACTGCTGCACGGTGAGGGCCTGGGGGGGCTGTGTGCATGAGGAACAAACTACATGTGGAGGAAGTGGCATGGGAATGGCAGAGGCAGGCAGCAGACCCAAGCTACCAGGCAGTCTAGCAGTGCTCTTCTGCCAGTGTAGAGCCACCCTGACTCCACAGTGGTGTGAAATTCCCCAGAAGATGCCACCTGCTTCTTTCCGGCTGGCTAGGGGCGATGCAGCAAAGTATGGGCATGGAGAAGGGAATGAGTAGGGAGAACAGTTCTTCTAGCATGTTAAAGTAGGGAGTCTAGAGGCAAGTCTTCATCCATGTAAAAAGAGAGCTGGGCCCCAAGGAAGCACAAGTTGCTTGGAGCAAGGCCTTTCTCTGGCTACATTGGTTGGGTCTTCTCAGTCTTCCCCACACAGTTCTGTAGCAGCTGGTGCTGGTGTCTGCCAGAAAGGAGTCACAGACTGGCTCTTGAGTTAGCCTGGTCCTTTATGGTGCTCTTCCTAGATCTCCGTGACATGGGCTGCTCACTGGGAGTGGCTATCCTCTCACTGTTGACCCACATCTGCTTGCATCCCACTCTCAGAGTGCACAGTGACCTCTGAGCCCTGTTCTTCCTCAGTGCTGGCACTGCCCTCACACCTGTGGCTGGCTGTTCCACCCTGCAGGCTCTGGGACATGCTGATGCATGAAGATCACGAGAAGCAGCCTTTCCGCAGCTATGAGGCCATAGCAACCAAGTGTTCCCAGTTGGTTGAGAAGAAGAGGGCACTGGAAGCCCAGTTGGTAGCTCCTATGCCCCAGATACCTGCCCTGGAGGCCTCCATAGAGGTGCTCTACCGGCAGCTGTACAACAGCCACAACCAGCTGCAGCTCTCCTCGCCGGTAAGGAAGCACTCCTATTCTCCAGGTCTTGCTGGGTGGAAGAGGGCTGGGTGTAAGAGCCCTCTGCCAATCCTCCCTGGGTGCAGGAGGGAGAACTCACTGCCTCTCAGCCCGCAGAGGGAAAGGAGGTTGAGCTGATCCTTGCCTTATCCCAAAAACTGTGCAGTGAGGTAGTGCGTGGCTGAGGCACAAAGGTGATTCTCACTGGGTCTCACATGTACTGTAAAGTGCCAAGATCAGGGTGCCTCAGCCAAGGTGTTCCAGTAAGCTACTGCTATTCCTTGGACTAGGAGGGTTTGGAGACCACAGCTTGGTGGGTAGTTTGGTTTTGGTGGGCTGAGATGTTCCAGAGGTGTGATGAAATCCCCTTCTTTCTGCATGTTCACATAACTTTGGGCTCTGCCCCTCAGGAGATCACCGAGCTGATGCAGCAACTGAAGATCATGCAGGACAAACTCCACAAAATGCTGGTAGACCTCTGGAGTGACTTGCAGGTCAAGCGCAGGTCTCTGCAGGAGAACCCCACCCTGCAGACAGAGCGCAACCTTTACGTGTATTTTTACTGCAATGAGGATCGGCTGAGAGAAGAGGTGGAGGAGCTCGAGAAGCAGGCAAGAGCTTCCTCCAAGGGACGCCTGATGGAGCTGCCCTATGCAAAGGAGTAGGTTGAAGGGATGTTTGCACCCTGCCATAGTAGTGGTGTCTTCTTTTGGTTGGGCTGGGTCCTTAATCCTGGACCAGGAGAGAATTCTGGCAGTCTCTGCTCCATTGACAGGTTACTTGGGTCATGGTCCAGCAGGGTTTAAAAGAAGCAGGGAGCTTATTCCTTAAATACAGAGTTTCCCAAAACTGGGTTAGATGATGTGTAAGAAATTGATGCATCTTGTGGCATTGGAAGCCTTGGGTAGACAAGACACTTCTCGTGCCAACTCTACAAGAGGATGGGTGCTGCAGGCAAGTGGACTGACACTGTCTGTGTCCCACCTCCTGGGGAAGGGACTTTTGTGTCTTTTGTGGGGAATAAAAATGTGTGTTATTCATAACTGCAGAGCAATAAGCTGTCCCAGTGTGGTGAAATCTTGTACTTAGTGAGTGTACTGTACTCTTGTACAATGGGCTGTGGGCTGTGATGCTTGCCAGGCTCAGAATCACCCTTCTTTCTCTTGCTATCCTATTTCCTTGAATTCAGCCCACTGCCTCTTCTCTGCCTATGTTTGATCCCCTTTCAAAGAGCCTGTGGATTCAGTGTCCTGCTAGCTCTGTCCCTGTGCTGTGCAATCAGTACTTGGGGTTGCATGGTGGTACCTGCTGCCTACCCCCATGGAGAGGCACCATGGGGTAAGCCCTCCTCCATGCCCTCTCCAGAATAAATTGGAAACACCCAGGAGCCACTTATTGCCTCTGTCCTTTAACTTTCACTGAAGGAGTGAAGGTGAAAAGCTGCATGGGCAGCTGCCAAGACTGAGCCCAGGGGGATGGATGGAGGTGCTGGAAAAGGCTGGGGATGTTGCAAACCTATAGAAGGGGAATTGCTGCAAAGTGAGGCTGTCCTTGACCAAACCCAGCTCTATCACCCTCTCCCTTGACACAGTTACCTCTGTAACATCGTTTCTGTTGAGGTTCTTCAGGCTGGCAAGAGCAGCATCCAGGGCTGGGAGGGCTTCAGCCAAGTCCTTCTGAGCATCATCTGCAATGGCTTGGGCTGTCTGAGCTTTCTCATTAGCCTTTGCCTCCTCAGCCTGCACAGCACTTCTTGTCTCTTCAGCCACAGCTGTGTCCACCTGCAACGCCAGAGAAAGCCTCAGAAGCATGCTGGAGGCACAGCACCCCTTGGCTAGGTAAGGATCATAGCTGTCCTGGCAGCTTGTGTGTCTTCTTACAGCAGAGACTGCAGGGACCTAATTGCTGGAGGGGATCCCCTTCCTGCATCATACCAGGAGAAGGTTTTTGTCAGCCTGTATAAACCACCCACAAGCTCCAACTCTGTCTGTGCCTGGAATGGTGTTAGTCTTCCAGGAATTAGCTACTCTACCCATTGGCACAAGGTGAGGATGCATAGGGGTGTAGATTTGTAGGGAGATGGAGGAATAAGAAGATATGCTTAGGTGTTTGTTTTTCAAACTGTCACTTCTGCCTACCCCCAGGGCTAAAACACTACCAGGAGGGGTAAAGTAAATGTGGAATATAGCTAAATCCTTATCAGCTATGTGGGAATTTGGGAAATTTCTCTTTCCCCTTTGCATGCATATGATATTAGTGTCTCTGTTCACTCTGTCCCAGTGTGGTCACTGACAGTAGGAGATGGGCTGGGAGGAACACAAGAAGAGAAGGCAGTGACAGTCAACACAGGACAGTTCCCTCTTCTGCAGTGGCATGAATGCCTGTGTGATGATCTCAGAGGTTTGGGCTAGCAGGGGCAGGCTGCAGCTGGATCAGCTCCCTGGGGACGGGATGTGGGGCAATGATCCTATTCAACAACACCAGTCTGGGCTTTGAGCTGCTCAGGCCACCTGAGGATTGTGTTAGGAGTGTTGCTAGTCTGTGCTTGCAAGAACCAGTGAGGAAAGGGAGCTGGTAGCTTGGCTGGCTGACCCCTGGCTGGTGGTTTCAGACAGGGGCACGTGAGCCACCACTTCTGCCAGCAACTGGCCCCACCAGCAGTAGAGCAGGACCCCAGCAGAAGGCAGTTCTTGCTGGTAATGCTGCTCTGCACAAATACCTGCTGTGCCAACTTGAGGCATTTTTACAATAGATCAAGCAGGACCACACTGCCTGCCAGGCCCCCCAAGCTTTGTGTCCAGTCCAGTCTGAGCAGCCAGAGCTGGAAAGTGCAGGGCTGCCCAGCAGCCGTACCTTCAGCTGCTCGATGGTTGCCTCTGTGTCCTTGGCTGCCTGTGCCAGGAGAGGGCGGGAGGACTCCAGCTCCTCCTGCATCTTTGCTACATCCTCTGCTGTTCGCAGGAGCTGTGGAAGCAAAGCAGAGTGAGAGCTGGGCAGCAGCCACGGAAAACCCCAGGAAAAAGCTGTGCTCCCCTGGGTGCTCCCTGCCCAGTGTCAGGCTGTACAATGCAGGTCTTGCCCTGGTCCCTGCTTAAACAACACTCTGACACTGTGGTGTGCCTATGAACAGTAGTGCCTAATGGTGCCTGCACATACTGGGCATTACTTCATAAGCTCACGGCAATCAGGCAGCAGAACAATGTTTCTGTTATAGGGCTTCCAATTAGAAGGTTAATAAGGAACATCCTGAGAGATGGGCTACACAGAGGTCTGTGGTCCCCAAAGGCTGGGGACCATTATTCTTTTAAAGCTGTTACAGAGTCAGACCTTCAGAAAGATCGGCCCTGGCAGAAGGCATAGTTCTCACTTGCTTTAGCTTTCACACAGGAGATGTGTAGAGCATCTCATTGCATCTCTGCAGCTATAAATACACTGCTCAGAGTGGTTAGGGGTGACCCCACAGCTCTCCTGGGTGTGAGGAACGAACCTTGTCCAGGCCACCTTTCATCCTGTTTTTGGCTGTCTTCAGTTCCTGTTGCTTTCTTCCAATGAGGGAACTGAAGATGCTGAGGAACTCGAGGTAGCTCTTGGGAGTGATATAATTGTGTCTGCCCAGCTCTGCTAGGAACAACTGACACTTCTTTGCCACACTCTGATGGATTGCTACACATACTTGAATCTACACGGAGAAAGGAAAAAAATAATCTTATTCAGTACTGAACATGGGGTAGGCAAGTCTATGTGATGCCCAGAGAGAGCACAAAGGGCTGCCAAAGAGCCAAAGTATACAGTCACAGCAGAGCTTATGTATGTGTGTGGGCTTCAGTGCCACAGAGGGGTGACAAATGGCCATGCCTGTTTCAAGGCATACAAAAGCTATCCAGTTCTGCATTTGAACGACCTTGCCCTGAAACATTTCTGCTGCAGGGTAGGACCTTTCTGCAGTTGTGCCCTGCATCCATTGTCTTGGTGTATCTAGAGACATGGCACTCTGAACATACAGGAACAGTGTATTCTGTTGAGTGTGGCACCTACCATCCCACTGATATCTTCGTTACCAGTACCAAGAAGTGGGACTTCATTCAAGAAGGAGGAGGCAACGCTCTCCAGGGCTTCAGCAGGCCACTGATTGAACCAGTCAATGGTACAGCAGTTCACAAGAGAGGGGAACTGCCTCAAGCGTGCACGGAAGACTTCTCCAAGCGGGCTGAGGGTAAGGCATGCAGAAAATATGTTACAACCAGCTCAAAATACAAGGACAAAACAGCTTTCCTTCTTCCACAGAATCACCCTGAAGTGGGAAGAGAATTGCAGGTAAGAGGGCCAGGAATATACCCAAGGAAGGAGGGAAAAGGGGAATGAAAATTCAGGCAGTGAGCTGCTGGTCTCAGCTCACTCCTTGGAAGTCCTTGGAAGTCCTTGGTATATTCTGGGAGTATTAAGATGGTAGTAGGCTGATATTTTATGGGTCCCTCCTTAGGAAGAAAGACTCTTCAGGTAAATGTGCTCTGAAGTTTATTTCAAGCAGGTGGGTGCAGAGATCACATCACTAGACTAAAATTATGGCCCTGATTTTTCTATTTGTACTTGCACTGAGAGTGCCCTGTACCTTCTGGTATCCCTCCCACAAGCAAGCAAGCTGCTTATGGACTGTGCACTAGATTCATGAGTAAACATGGTGCAACTGAGCCCCAAATTCAAGAAAGATGTTTTTGTAACAAATGGCTCAATGGTGCGTGAAGGAGCAGGAAGCTTGTAATTAATCTGGATCACGTATAATCCTATTCTCAAAATTTTCAAACCTCATCTTGAAACCAGCAATGTGTAGAAAAAAAAAAAAGAAATTATCCAATCTTATGGGAAGGTAAACTATACCCATATGTCTCCTCCTCCTCCAAAGTCTGGGGCTTGGAAATAAAGATCCCATCACAGAATGATGCAAGGCAAAGGAGGGGGAAGGAATAATTAACATGAAAAGCACAGAGTCCTAGGCCTGAACCGTACCTCATGCACAGGACCAGGTGCATATTGCTGCGGACCCGCCCTGTGTATGCAGCCATCAAATTGGCCTTGGTGGGCTGCTGCCCGAGATCTCGAACAACAGGCTTCATAGCTGTCATGATCTGTTCTTGGTCATCAGGGTTGTAAATGTTGGGAACGTCACCGGAGTTGAGCAAGTTGTTGATATCTTCAAGGAAGGATTCATTTTTAATCTAAGTAGATGACAGGTAAAAAAAAAAAAAAGCACTTTCCTAAGTCAGAAGGCAGTCGTGTCTCACATGCCATGGAGATCATTTCTGCATAAATATAGCCCTCAGCCTCTGCTATAAGAAACCATTTATGTGATCACTTGGCTCCAGTAAAGCACACTCTGACTCTTGTGAGAGTTCCAATTGAACAATCGTGTTCATCCATTTCAGGGATGGAGGTATGTGTCTGAGAACAAACCTCCTCATGCCCCTTCACTGCCTCCTTACAGACAAATTGAGCTCAGGTCCTCACTCCCTGCATCACAGTTGACTCTGGAGTCAGACCCCAGATATCTGGTTGCTCCGGGTCTTCGTTCCTCCATCACAGAACACTTCATTATTAAAATAAAGCTTATCAATGTGGGAGACAAAGTAATTGTAGGGATGTGTCACAGTCCGTGGGACGATCTCCCTCC